AGGGTTGCGATCCGTTGCCAGTCACGAAAAAAGACAAAAAGGAAAAAAAAAAAGAAATTCTAAACTTGGCTGGATATCTGAATCAGCTAGAGGCCTATTAAAAGTTCAGATTCCTGGGTTCTACTGTTGGAAACTGACTCAGCAGCCCTGGGAATCTGCTTTTACTAAGTTCCCTAAAGGGTTCTGATCCAGATGATGATCTGAGCAGGGGGTTGCTTGGATGGGCCACATCTGTGACTGTCACAAGGTCTTGCCTTGGCCAGGAGCCATGAGGGACTCATAGCAGATTCCCAGAAATGGCCTGTGGGCTCTGGGAGATGGATATGCTGCACGGACTGACTCATCTGGTGAGGCAGTTCATGCCGTGTCAGCTTGGTTAAGCTGCAACTACTTTTCGTAGAATCCCCTTCCCTGGCTGTTTCTAGGTTAGAACTGGCAAAAGAGGAATTTGTGGAAATTTGGGAGCTAGATGTGAAGCAGCAGCCATTACACTCTTGAGGTCATTATAGCTAGATGCGGTGACAGACAGGCCCATGGTTTCCAGCAGATTCAAGCCTGTCCTCCAATCTGCATCCTGCTCTTCCTCCTGACCACCAGTCCTGCTGACCAACGGTGGTCCCGGGCCCACCACTGGACACTTGGCTGGAGACCTACCAGGCAATGGCTGCCCATACACTTCTCCACCAGCCTCCCTGTGGCCCCACTTTGGCAGCTGGATGCCTTGGGTTCTCAGATGGACCAGGTGGTAATTCCTCTGGTCCCTCAACAACCCTTAAACCTGTACTTCTGCTCCCCCACATAACTATATGNATTCCTCTGGTCCCTCAACAACCCTTAAACCTGTACTTCTGCTCCCCCACATAACTATATGACCTAACTCCTAATTCCTACAATAAATCCCTTATCTCATAGGTCATAGTGGCTCAGCTTTCCTGATTGACCCTGAATGATGCCATCGTCCACTCTGTCCTGCAGACCTTTTGATCTAAGGCAGCGGCTCTCCAGGTGTGGTCCAGGAGCTGGTTAGCAATGCAACTCCTTGGGCCTCACACCAGACCTACTGACTCAGAAACTCCAGGGGGAGGCCCAGCAATCTGTGTTTTAACAAGCCCCCAGGAGCTTCTAACACATGCTGCAGTTTGGGAACCACTCCTGCAGGCTTTTAAGGGGCCTGCCTCCATTTCGGTTTGGGATGATGAAGTTCTGGGAAAAGACAGTGATGATGATTACACAACACCTTGAATGTATTTAATGCTATTGAATTGCACACTTAAAAATGGTTAAAATGGTTAAAAAAAACCCTTAGAAGCTACACACAAAAGATCACATATTGTACAATTGCATTTACGTGAAATAACCAGGAAGACAGCAAGCAGATTAGTGGTTGCCAGGGGATGGGGGTGACTACTTAATGCATATGAACTTTCCTTCTGGGGCGATGAAAATGTTTTGGAACTACAGCGAGGCAGTGGTTGTACAACATTGTGAATGTACTAAGTGCCTCTGAATTGTTCACTTAAAAATGGTTAATTTTATGTTATGTGAATTTCTGTGGCTTGAATTACGAGAGCATTTACCGAGGCACGGTGCTAAGGCTCCAGCCACAAGCACAGGATCATTCCATCCTCGCCCCAACCCTGGGAGACTGGCATTGTTATTCTCCCCTTTTAATAGACATGGAACCCAGGCAGTCTGATTCCAGAATCCACGCTTTTAACCAATATGCCATTATGCCCAGAACACTCAATTATTTCTTTGTGCAGGAGGCAGAAATCAGACATCAGCCAGGGCAGCTCTTGATTGACACTTAAAAGCAGTATCCCCATCACTCAGATTTATCCAGGCCTGAAGCAGAGCACGGGGGGACAGAAAGGGGGGTGTGATTGGCTTGCTCATGAGTCCACAGTCCCAGGACTTCTGAGATAAAGTCCCAAGGGCTATCAGAAGTGGCTGGTTTGGATTTGGAGTGGCTTATCAGAATGGAAATTTAAAAAAAAATTGAGTCCACAGTCCCAGGACTTCTGAGATAAAGTCCCAAGGACTATCAGAAGTGGCTGGTTTGGATTTGGAGTGGCTTATCAGAATGGAAATTTAAAAAAAAATAGTTATGATAGTAACAATACCTAAAAATGTATTGAGAATTTACTTTTTACAATTAGCTCATTTATCCTCACAAGTTCCCAAAACTATTCTCCCTATTTAGAGAAATTAAGCAATGGCCCAAGATCACCAAGGTCATCAGGACCAGGATTTGAACTTGAATCTGTTACTTTAATATAAAGTAATACATGTTTCTCTGTAGGAAACTTAGAAAGTACACGTTAGAAAAGATAGAGACAGAATAAAAATCTCTTGTAATCCATTAGCAGTAATCATTGGAAAAATTAATTATTCCTCAAATTTTTATTATATTTTTTGAAACAAAACATGGACCAGCTTTGTAATCTGCATTTCCACGTTAATAGATTAGAATCATCTTCCTATGTCTTTCAGTCTTCTCCATCACCACCATTTTTAGTGGCTGTGTGGTGTTCCCCTGTATGAACATACAAAAGTCGATTTTCTAGGCCTTTATGTTGGTATTTGGGTTGTTTCCACAAGAAGACATTTCAACTGGGAGAAAAAATGTTTTAACCAGGTTGTTGAATTTATCGAAGCCTCCCCTCTACAATGAGCAGCAGCATGGGGCAATCGGCTCTGGAGGGTTGAGATCTGCTGGCAGAAAGACCCAAGCGCCAGGCAACAACGTAGTTGATACATTTTTATTTGGGGTGCACACTTTTGCGGGGAAAGACTCTCATTTCTGTGTGCTGAACCTGAAAATTCTCACCTAAAGTCAAAGTAAAAGTACTCACAGATTTACCCATCTTACTCCTTACAAAGAAGAGCTTGATTCCTTGGTAACAAGGAGCAAATGTTCTCTAGAATCCCAAGTTATTTCCCGCTTCCCAGTTCTGAGGTTCCATACCAGGGAAATCTAGTTAAAAGCCAGTAGTCTGGTTTCTCACAGTAGTGGAGTGGTTAAGAATACAGACTCTGGAACCAGGCTGGCTGGGTTCAAATCTCAGCTCCTCTACTTACTAGCTGTGGGCCCTGTGAGTAGCTCACCAAACCCTTGGAAGGGAAGTACTGAAAACAGAAGCAGCCTGGGTTCCTAAATGACTGGAGCTAAGACCCTTGTTTCCCCACCTCACACATTAAATTGAGACCTGAGTGTTTTAATTCCTTGAGATGTGGGGTTGTTTGCACAGTAGCTAACATACTCCTGCCTCAGTTTCCCCATCTGTCATAAAAAACTGTTCTGAGCATCATGACTTAATATATGCAAGAGTGATGGGAAAGCTTGGTTGTCTCCCCTCCCCCAACTCCAGATATTGACCCCATCAAGGATAGTCCCCAAACATCTGTCACTTTCATCACCAGTCGGATATAGCTCTGCCTCCCAGAAATTTCCCTGAACTCTGCTTGCATGTTTTTTCAGCCTGAAACCCCCTTCTTGGAAGCAACTTTGTCTACTCTTCACTGTGAGAGGCTCCCAGTAATTGGCTCATCCTGGGCAAGAGAATGCACATGTCCTAAAGCTGCCAACATACTTCCCCATATGCGATGAGTCAGTACAAACACGTGGGCAGGGCTGAAGAACTCCAGGAACTTCAACTGTAGTGGCCCAGCCAGGCACAGTGCCTCTTAGCCCAAGACAAAAATGTTAAGCCAATGGCTCCAGCAGCTTCCAACCATGAAACTAAGGACCAGTGGTACTTATTTTATTAATTACGTATACTCAGATACGTAATTGTATCTACAATTTATCTGTAAAAGATTGTTTCTCATACTGTTAGCCACGGTTCTTGCTTTTGTGTGTGTGTGTGTGTGTGTGTGCACACTCACCATACTAACCCAACAATTCCACTCCTAGGTATTTGCCCAGGAGAAATGAAAACATATGTTGATACTAAAACCTGCACGTGAATGTTTATAGGGGCTTTGGTGATAATCACCAAAAACTAGAAACAATCCAAATAACCTTTCAGCAGGTGAAGGGATGGACAAACTGTGGTTCATCCTTACCATGGGATAAATGCAATATGGGGAGATGGCAAATGCATTATGTCAAGTGAAAGAAGCCAGACATCAGGGGCTTCATACTGTATGACTCCATTTACATGACATCCTGGAAAAGGCAAAACTGTGAGGACAGAAAACAGATCAGAGGTGGGAAAGGGGTTGGCTACAAAGAGACAGCAGGAGAGAATTTTGGGGCTGATAGAACTTTTCTATATTTTGATTGTGGTGGTGGTGGTTACACAACTACATGTGTCTGTCAAAACTCATAGAGCTGTACATAAGAAAGGGTGAATTTTAGTGCATGTAAATTTTTTTTTTGTTTTTTTTTGTCCTTTTTGAGACCAGCTGCACAGCGCTCAGCCAGTGAGCGCTGTGAGCGCACCGGTCATCCCTATATAGGATCCGAACCCGCGGCGGGAGCGCTGCTGCGCTCCCAGTGCCGCACTCTCCCGAGTGCACCACGGGCTCGGCCCTAGTGCATGTAAATTTAAAATGTATATATATCCATATAAAACAATGCTGGGAGGGTGTTTTTTCACAGTTGCATATGAATTAGCTGCTGTGGCTCCCACCTTGCTCAGACCTCAGCTTCCTAAGTCTAGGAAGGGAGGTCCGGATGCTCAAAGTTTGAATGGTAAACGAACCACCAGGAATAGCAGCTAGTATTTGCAAAGCCCTCTACAGTTCACAAAGCAACTTACCTTGTAGTAATCCCTGTGGGATCCACCACAAGCCTACAAGATTTAAGAAAATAAAACATTTTCTCTTGTTATAAGAACAATGCTTGTTTATTAAGCAAAAATTAGTAAGGATAGATTAGCTGAAAATCAAAAACGCCCATCTGCCCACTATCCATCCTACTGATAATGTCTATAAAAGTCTCCAGACTTTCTTCTGTGTTGTGTAAACAAACATACTTTATTATTATTATTTTTTTATAAAACTGGATCTTACTGTAATATGGTTTTGATATCTAATTTAAGAAAAATTTATATATGATGAACAATCTTGCACACCATCAGTATTCATCTACACTGTAATTTTTTTTTTTTTCCTTTTTTTTGTCTTTTTTACTGACCAATAATGGGATCGCAACCCTCGGTGTTGCGCCCGCACCGCGCTCAGCCAGTGAGCGGGAACCGGTCTCCACACGGGATCCGAACCCTTGGCGGGAGCGCCGCCGCACTCCCAAGCGGTGCACTCTCCAGTGCGCCACCGGGCCGGCCCTACACTGTAATTTTTAGTGGTTGAGGAATACTGTGGTATACAGAGGACCCATAATTTATATACCAATCCCCTGTTGCTGCACATATAGTTAGTTTTTAACCTTATTGCTATTATAAAAATAAAATAGTGTTGAAACTAACTCCTTACACAACCATGAATTGTTGCCTCGGGATAAAATCCTGGTATTAAAATTGCTGAGTTTTTTAAAGCTTTTGACATGCATTTTCAGACTGTCCTCCAATTTATGCTGCCACCATAAGCTTGTGAAAGCATCACCTCCCAATATCAGCATTTGTTTTTTAACCTAAAATTTTAAGACTTTTAAATATTTTACATTTCATATGTGAATGATGGCATGACATTTCCTTTAAGACAACGAGGCTGAATATTATTTCATTTTTTTCTCAGGTGCTTATCAGCCCATAGCATTTCTTCCTTATCCCAGTTCTCAACTAGGTCATTTAGCTTTTCTTTACTGACTTGAATAGCTCCTGGATGTGTTCAGAAAACAAACCCTTGTTTGCTGTGTGGTGCAAATATTGCCCCGGTTTAATCATTTGATATATCAAAGTTTTTAAATTTTAGGAGCCTTATCTATCAACCATTTTCAACAATTTCTTTTATGATTTTACCTTTTACCATCATGCTAAAAAAGCCCCTTCCAAAAATGGACTGTCATAAACTTTATAGTGGAGAAATTTGGCAGATACCATCTCAACTAGGTGATCGAGGTCAATATCACCAATAATATCATGTTGATATGAAATAAATCCTGATATGATACAATGAAAAGGACCTTTTACCTTGTAGGATTCTTTCCCAAATCCCAAAAGCCCAGTCTAATCATGAGAAGACAGACAAACCCAGATGGAGGGGCATTCTAGAAAATACTGAACAGTACTCCTCAAAGCTGTCAAGGTCATGGAATTCAAGGAAAGACTGAGAAATATAGTCACAGACCAGAAGAAACTAAGGAGACATGACAACTAAATGCAATGTGGTATCTTGAATTGGATCCTGGAGTAGAAAAATGGCAGTCAGAAAACTGGTGAAATCCAAATAAAGTCTGCAGTTCAGTTAGTAGTAATGTGACTTTCTTAGTTTTGATAAAATATACTGCTGTGGTTGTGTAAGATGTTACCATGAGGAGGAGTGGGATGAAGGGTATAAGGAATCTCTGTCTCTGCAACTTTTCTATAAGTCTAAAATTATTCCAAAATAAAATGTTTTTTTTTTAAAAAAGAGTCTTGGCTAGAAATTTTGCTGGACTCATAGCTGGTTTCTATTTTTATTGCTACTATTAAAAAATAGTGTTGAAACTAATTCCTACACAGTCATTAATTATTTCCTTGGGGAAAAATCCTGGTATTGAAATTACTGAGTTTTTAAAAAAGCTTTTGGACAGTCTAAGCAGAAAAGCAGAGAGAATGAATAGGAAGGAAAAAAGATATCCAAGTCCCTGGCTGGGTAGGGGAGGGGGAAAGGAGAGAGGTGGAGGTGGATGTGCTAGCTGGGGGAGGGGCTGGGGTAGCAGCCACAGGTCTGGAAAGATGAACTGAGGCTGGACTCTAAAGGTCCAGTCTTTAGAGCTTTGTCATCTAAGGAAGTTAGCCTGGACTTGATCCTACAGGCAGTGGGGAAGCAGCAAGAGATTTTAGCTCAGTAGTGCATGACGGGGTCATTGATTTGTTATTTTACTGGTTCATTTCCTAAATTTACTGACTCCTCCCTGCTGCCCATAAGCTCCAGCAGGGCAGGGACTGTGTCACTCTTATGCACAGGGTCCCCAAAGCCTAGAAGAACACCTGGCCTGTAGAGAGAACTCAATGAATATTGTTGAGTGAATATCTGAGTCTTGTTTCCAAAGTGACTTTCTTCTCCCCAATTTTTTTATGGTGATAAAACACACAAAATATAAAATTCACCATCTTAACCATTTTTAAGTGTACAGTTCAGGGACATTAAGTACATTCACATTGTTGTGCAGCCATCACCACTGTCCATCCACAGACCTCTTTTCATCTTGCAAAACTAAAACATGGTCCTTATTAAAAAATAACTCCCCATTCTTGCCCTCCCCTGGCCCCTGGCAACCACTACTCTAAATTCTGACTCTATGATTTTGACCATATAAGTGGAATCATACACTATTTGTCTTTTTGTGACTGGCTTATTGCACTTAGCATTATGTCCTCTAGGTCCATCCATGGTGTAGCAAGTGTCAGAATTTCTTCCTTTTCAAGGCTGAATAATACTCCATTCTATGGATATACCACACTTGGTTTAATCTGTTCATCCACTGATGGACACGTAGGTTGCTTCCACATTTTAGCTATGTGTATAATGCTGCTGTGAACATGGGTGTACAGATATCTCTTTAAGACCCTGATTTCAATTCTTTTGAGCATATACCCAGAAGTGGGATTGCCGGATCCTATGGTAATTCTATTTTTATTTTTGAGGAACTGCCACATCCAAAATGACTTTTAAGAAGAAATTTTATAAAAGGTTTTTCCCACTCCTGCCCTTCACATCTAGTATCAGCCATGTGAATTACACTCTCGTCTACCTCTGGATCCTTGCACAGGCTGTTGCCTCTGTGAGGAGTACCTTTTGCTGCTGAAATTCTGCTCCCCCTTTGGATTTCAGCTCAGACCTCGCTCTTTCTGAGAATCCTTCCCTGACTCTCCACGTTTGGGTTGAACCTCCTCCTGTGGTTCCTCATCACTTGTCGACTGTGTTGTTACGATACACTCACTGCTGTCTGCCCTAGGACAGCCAGCCCCACCACCGGGACAGGCGCAAACCCTGTTCACACAGTACATATCAGTACATTTGTTTAAAGTGACAGTCCTGTGTTGAGCCAAAGAAGACCTCCCGGTGAAGTAAGAGAATTTGCATCTGTCACTGTTTGAAAACACCATTACCCAAAGGCAGTTCCAATACACAATTGCTACCCTCCAAACTGCAGTTAAAGAAGCTGCAATATCTGAGGTCTCTTCTGGTAACTCGAGATGTATGTTTGAGTGTTGCTTTTTTAAAAAATTATTTTTTATCATGTCCCCACCACCAAATATCAACATACCATGCTCACGCCCTGGCCAATAATGCCCAGCCAGTGGGTGTGGGGAAATGCAGGACAAGAGTAAGACAAG